CTGAAGGTTGGAACCTTCTCTGAGGGCACAATGGTGGACAAGAGGGTGCTAGCTAGGGATCCTGGGGTTCTGATTGGGTGAAGAGAGAGGGCTGCCTGGGAGGGGGGCTCTGAACTTGGGCGCCCCATGGTCTCTTGGAGTGTAGATCTAGGACGGGGGGTGAAGGCAGGGAACCCCCATCTCCCTGGCCAGACATACCACTCACTCTTTTTTTTTTTAAGATTTTATTTATTTATTTGAGCGAGAGAGAATGAGAGACAGAGAGCGTGAGAGGGAGGAGGGTCAGAGGGAGAAGCAGACTCCCCGCCGAGCGGGGAGTCCGATGCGGGACTTGATCCCGGGACTCCAGGATCATGACCTGAGCCGAAGGCAGTCGCTTAACCAACTGAGCCACCCAGGCGCCCATCCCTCTTGAATCTCTTACAAATCCAGGGCTCCTGACCCACACACCTGGTTCCTCACCTCTCTCTTGGTCCCAAAGTCCCTGATTATCCCCCTTCCCACGCCCCCATTCCTGAAGAGAATGGGCCTTTTCCACTGTCACACGTTCTGGGTCCTTTATTGTGCCTCCCTGATTGCCCCAAGTCTCCCGCAGCATGTCTCTGTGTGTCTGACCCAGGCTCCCAGCTCCTGGTGTCTCTGTTTGCCCCCTAAGTTCAGGGCTCCGGATGCGGTTGGCTTCCCCATGGTCCCCCTACCCCATCACCCCAGCCTGGCATCAGTGGTCATGTGCAGCCAACTGGGTGAGAGTTCGGATTCCCTCCTTCACACCAGAGGCTGGTTGCTGGTTGTCAGCCCTCTGGTCTTAGGGCTCCTCCTCCCTCCCCCCCACTTCCCTCCCCCCACTCCTCCTCCGTGCCAGCCAGTAAGGGTCCAGTGCACCCTCCCAAGCCTCCGCCCTGGGATGAGGGGTCTTGGAACAGGCCAGCAGGCATGGGTCTGGGCTGGGGGATGTGAGGGGGGGTGCATGGGTTTGGGGACTCCCAGACTCGGGGCCTAGCCCTGCCAAGTAGGGGAAGGTTCAGAGCTGGAGAGACAAACAGCTGGTGTTAATGGAAGCCACATTGGTGGTTTGGCCGGGTGCCGTCCAGATTGGAAGAGAGGAAAGTAGGGGAAAGGGGAGCTGCTCCAGGGGCCGGAAAATGTCTCCAGTCGCTCTGGGCCCGCCCCCAGCCCCCCAGCTGCCCCCCCTCGCTCCAGTATGGACTTCCCTTCCCTGGGGCAACCTTTCCCCTACTTTCCTGGCTGGGCTGGGGGCGGGGACTTCCCCAGCCTCTGGACCCGCCCAAGCCATCTCTCCCTCCTCTCCTCCTTCTTTTCCTCCTTGGTTCATCAATCCTTCCCCTCCTGGGACCCCAGCGGGCGCTTCTGTCCCTGCAGTCCCCATCCAGGCCCTCGGCATCCCCTGCCTGACGAAGCAGAGCCACTTCTGCTCAGCTTCCCCCCACCTTCCCCACTCTGGCCCAGCTTCTCACTCACTCATTCCTCCAGTCTTTATTAAACACCTGCTGTGGGTCAGGATCAGCCTGGGCACTGGTGCCAGACTGTGGGCAAAGAGCCACTCTGTCCCTGGCCCCAAGGAATCCTCATTCAGTGGCAGAGAGACCACCAGATGACCCCCCCCCCCCCCCAGTGTTGGGAGCGGGAAGTCCTCCGTGCTCCTTTTGGGAGGCTGGCCTGGTCTGGGAGTCAAGGAAGGCATCCCTTCCAGAAGCTGGGATCTTTAGAATGAGGCAACAAAGGTCTGACGGAGGAGGGTCCTGGGCAGCATGACTGGCACGTGCAAAGTCCCTGTGGCAGGAGCATGCGTGGCGCAGGGAAGGCTGTGTGGCCAGAGGTGGGAGTGCGGTGTGGGAGGATGGTGGATGGCACAGGGGCCATCCAGGAGGGGGCCCTGGTGAACCCAGGATTGCCCCCTCATGTTCCTGTCACCCACTGCCCAGCCCCTAACATGCCTGTTTCCTGAGAACCCTCCTGCCTCAATCTTCCCGCCCTTCTCTTTTTCTGCCCTTCAGGGCTGCCCAGGGACTGCCAAGAGCTGTTTGACGATGGAGAGAGGCAAAGTGGACTGTTCCAGATCCAGCCTCAGGGGTCCCCGCCTTTCCTGGTGAACTGCAAGATGACCTCAGGTAGGATTTGCTGGCCCTCTGGGGAGCCCTGCATCATGCCATGGGCCTTGTCCTCTTTCTATCAAATGCAGCTCCCCACCACCGCGCATGGTTGAGCCAGGTTCTGTGGGCCCAGAGAAGCTCTCTAGATTTCTGCTGCCCCTTCCCTCCCTGCTGGGTCCTTGGGACAATGATCTAGGCTGAGCCCCTTGCCCACTGGCCAGCCCACCTTTGACCACCTTCCTCCAGTCCTGCTGGGATGAATGAGAGGAACATTGCCCTCTTCGGATTTGGAGGCAGTTTGGGGTTTGGGAGTCAGATGAGGAGTCCGGGTCCCCTGCAAGAAGGGTTCTCCTGACGACATTGCACCTCTCTGGGCAGATGGAGGCTGGACTATAATTCAGAGGCGCCGGGATGGCTCTGTGGACTTTAACCAGCCCTGGGAAGCCTACAAAGCTGGCTTTGGAGACCCTCAAGGTGGGTGTTTCCAGTGGGGCCAGAGGTATTGGGGGAAGGAGGGGGCTTGGAGATGGGTCTGTCTCACTGATTGGCCTCTCCCCGGTAGGTGAGTTCTGGCTGGGCTTGGAGAAGGTGCACCGCATCCTGGGGGACCGTGGCAGCCGCCTGACTGTGCAGCTGCAGGACTGGGAGGGCAATGCCGAGTCACTGCAGTTCCCTGTCCACCTGGGCGGTGAGGACACAGCCTATAGCCTACAGCTCACAGCTCCCGTGGCCAGTGAACTGGGGGCCACCACTGCTGCGCCCAGTGGCCTCTCCCTGCCCTTCTCCACTTGGGATCAGGACCACGACCTCCGTGGGGACAAGAACTGTGCCAAGAGCCTCTCTGGTGAGCAAGCTTTGTCCCTTCCCTCCCTTGCACCACAAGGGCAAGACCTCCCCTGCCCGCCTTTCTGCATCCCTGTCCGCCTTCAAGGCCAAATTCCATCTCTTCTCTGCCTCCTTTTCTCCTTACTTGCTGTGTGCCTTTGGGCAACTGACTTACCCTCTCCCACCTTCAGTTTGCCTGTCTTTAAAATGGGTGTAAGCACAGTGCCCACTCCATAGGATTATTTCGAGATGACATTTGTGCTAGAGGGGCTGGCGTGTGGCAAAGCCACCAAGATAAACCCTGTTTTGTTCGAACGAAATCCGAGGCAGAGCCTAGGCCCTGTGAAGTGAAGTCTATGAGGCTGCTTTTTGGTGGGTCAGAACTGATGGAAAACCAGTAATTCATGTGGGCCAGTCTCCATATATAAATTGATGAACCAGAGGATGATCATATCAAGTCTTTCATACACAGTCGCCATGTGCCAGGTACAGAGAAGGAATGTGCCACAGTCACAGACGTGAGAGCTGTAGTTACTGGGAGGGGAGGGGGCCCAGAGCCCCTGAGACTCCTTTGTCACAGCCCGGGGTTCTTCAGGACGCAGTGTGACAATCACGAGAAACATCGTCCCCTCTAAAGTTTGTAAAGTCCGACACCTCGCCTCCTTCCCATCCCAGTCCCAGCGGAGGCACAGGGACCCCAGCCTGACCAGGTTCCGTTTTCTCCGACCCCGGCAGGTGGCTGGTGGTTTGGCACTTGCAGCCATTCCAACCTCAACGGCCAGTACTTCCGTTCCGTCCCACCCCAGCGGCAGCAGCGTAAGAAGGGCATCTTCTGGAAGACCTGGCGGGGCCGTTACTACCCGCTGCAGGCCACCACAATGCTGATCCAGCCCACAGAGACTGAAGCAGCCTCCTAGCCTCCTCCCTGGGGCCTGGTCCCAGGCTCGTAGAAGACAGTGACTCTGACTCTGGCCCAGCATGTGGCCACTCCTGGCCTCGGCAGGGGCTCAAAACAGGGGCCATCTGGAGCCTCATGGACCGAGAAGACGCTCACAACCGGAGAGGCCCCCCTTTCCGAGTGGGGGGCTGCAGGTGATGCCCTCTGAGGACAGAGCTGCAGGGCACAGACTCCTGGAAGCGTGAGACTGAGAGGCGTTGAGACCCACTCCTTGCCCGCCTGAGGTGTCGGGGACAGAGGGGGACCATTTGGGGGCAGCCAGGCCAGCCCTCGATGGCGGATTCAGTCACATTGACTGGCTGGGGGACCAGGGCTCCCGTGGGCCCCCGGTGCCCTCACAGTGCTCTGGTGTGTGGGTGCTGTGGGATGAGCGGGCGCCAGTGGCGTCCGGGAGGAGCTTGCAGAATCCTTGCAATAAAAGCAACCTCAGAACATTTCATTCTTCTTTGTTCCTCAGTTGGTTTTTAAAAGAGTGGTCAGTTTCAAAGTCCACAGAAATATGTTCCCAGGGTGGAGGGTGCACACTCCCAGATCTTTTGAGAACACTGGTTAGTCCTACCACCTGACACCCGATTTTAATTTCCTTCATGATTTCACAATGTGTGTCTCAATTTTTATTTTCTTTTTTTTTTTAAGATTTTATTTATTTATTTGAGACAGAGAGAATGAGAGACAGAGAGCATGAGGGGGAGGAGGGTCAGAGGCAGAAGCAGGCTCCCCGCCGAGCAGGGAGCCGGATGCGGGACTCGATCCCGGGACTCCAGGATCATGACCCGAGCCGAAGGCAGTCGCTTAACCAACTGAGCCACCCAGGCGCCCTCAATTTTTATTTTCAAAAAAGCGAAACCCTCATTCAGTCCTTCTGGAAGCAGATAATGGAGACAATGAGAACCCTTCTTTTTTTTTTTTTTAAAAGATTTTATTTATTTAACAGAGAGAGACATAGCGAGAGCAGGAACACAAGCAGGGGGAGTGGGAGAGGGAGAAGCAAGCTTCCCGGAGAGCGGGAAGCCTGATGTGGGACTCGATCCCAGGACCCTGGGATCATGACCTGAGCCGAAGGCAGACGCTCAATGACTGAGCCACCCAGGCGCCCCAGTGCAGACTTTTTTTTTTAAGATTTTATTTATTTGATAGCAAGAGCAGGAACACAAGCAGGGGGGAGTGGGAGAGGGAGAAGCAAGCTTCCCGGAGAGCGGGAAGCCCGATGTGGGACTCGATCCCAGGACCCTGGGATCACGACCTGAGCCGAAGGCAGACGCTTAACGACTGAGCCACCCAGGCGCCCAATGAGAACCCTTCTTGATCATACTTACACACATGAATCACAGTGAACTTTTTAGCATCCGGACAGCTGATAGAAATATAATGTGCGTCACATGTTTAATTTAATTTTTTTTTTCTAATAGTCACGTTAAACAAAAAGGAAAAATAAACATACACACACAAAAAAAGTTAAAAAAAAGGGCGCTTGGGTGGCTCAGTGGGTAAAGTATCTGCCTTCGGCTCAGGTTATGATCCTGGGGGTCCTGGGATTGATTCCTGAGTCAGGCTCCTAGCTCATTAGGGAGTCTGCTTCTCCCTCTCCCTCTGCCCCTCCCCCTGCTTGTGCTCTCTCTCTCTCTCTCTCTCTCTCTCTGTCAAATAAATGAATAAAATCTTAAAAAAAAAAAAAAAAGGTAAAAAGAGGGGCACCTGGGTGGCTCAGTCAGTTAAAGGTCAGACTCTTGATTTCAGCTCAGGTTATGATCTCAGGGTTGTAAAATTGAGCCCCACAGTGGGCCAAGCTGGGCATGGAGCCTGCCTAAAAGATTCTCTCTCTCTCTGCCCCTCCCTCCATCCCTCTCCAAAAAAAATAAAAGAAACATATGAAAAGAATTTTAGAAATGTATTTTTATCGGGGTGGCTCAGTAGCTCAGTTGGTTGAGCACCTGGCTCTTGAGTTCAGCTCAGGTCATAATCCCAGGGTCATGGGATTGAGCCCCTTGTTGGCTCCACGCTGAGCATGGTGCCTGCTTGGGGTTCTCTCTATCCCTCTCCCTCTGCCCTCCCTATCCCCCCACATGCTTGTTCTCTTTCCCTCTCTCAAAAAATAAATAAATAAAATAAATGTATTTTTATCAAACCCAGTAACCAAAATATTACCATTTCAACATGTGAGTGATATACAGGTTATTAATGTATTAATGCAGGATATTAAGATTAGTATTATATTAAAGCATATACACTGCTTTTTTTGTACTAAGTCTTTGGAACCCAGTGTTTGTTTTATGCTTAGGTTCACATCTCAATTGGGACCGGCCATATTTCTTTTTTTTTTTTAACATTTTTTTAAAGATTTTATTTATTTGTCAGAGAGCATGAGCAGGGGAAGCGGCAGGGAGAGAGAGAAGCAGGCTACCCACTGAGCAGGGAGTCCAATGCAGGACTCGGTCCCAGGACCCTGGGATCATGACCGGAGAGGAAGGCAGACACTTAACGGACCGAGCCACCCAGGCGCCCCAGGACGGGCCATATTTCATGAGCTCAACAACCACAGGGGGTAATAACCACCATACTGGACAGCCAACTCTAGTATATACATTCATGCAGTGTTTTGGGTAAATTCTTCACATTTTAACCACATCTGCATAAGTTATCCTTTAAGTTGGACATGAAAATATGTCTATAAATTCAACTAATATTTACTGAGCTCCTACCACCTCCCAAGCCGTTGTACTAAGTGCTTGGGATACTCTAGTGAACAAAAAGATTCCTACCCTACCCTCACCAAGCTTACCTTCAAAGTCCCTCCTTATCACAGATATGTTGGCTTATAACTGATGGTCCAAAATGAGGCCATCACTTCGGGTGGGGGAAAAACATATGAATAGCTGTTGACACACTGGCAAGAAGGGTGGGATTGACTGAGAAGGGGCTTGAGGCAGCTTTCTCCAGTGATGGTGATGTTCTGAACCTTGATAGAGGTGGGTTACTCCTCCATATGCCTTTGTCTCTGTAAATGCACACTTAAGATTTGTATTTCATTGTATGTAAATTTCACCTTCGAAGGAAAAAAAAAAAGAGCCATAAACAAATACTGAACTCTGGTTAATGATATGCATGCTGAAGTGTTTCGAGGGGAAGTAGACTGATGTCTTCAACTTTATTTTTTCCAGCTATATTGAGATACAACGGACATATGACATTGTGTCAGTTTAAGGTGTACAATGTGTTGATTTGATACAAGTATATATATATATTTTTTAAGATTTTATTTATTTATTTGAGAGAGAGAATGAGATAGAGAGAGCATGAGAGGGGGGAGGGTCAGAGGGAGAAGCAGGCTCCCCGCTGAGCAGGGAGCCCGATGTGGGACTTGATCCAGGGACTCCAGGATCATGACCTGAGCCGAAGGCAGTGGCTTAACCAACTGAGCCACCCAGGCGCCCCGATACAAGTATATATTGTGAAATGGTTACCCCCATAGTGTTAGCTGTCACCTCCATCACATCACAGTTATTTCTTTTCTGTGGTGAGAACATTTAATCTCTATTCTCTTAGCAACTTTCAAGTACTAACTATAATCACCATGCTATATGCTAGATTCCTTCAAATGTTCAACTTTCTTTGAAATTCATCAAAGGGTTGGGTGGGTGGCTAGAGAGATGGATATGTGATAAAATAAAATGTTAATAGTGAAATCTAGATATTTTCTATAAAATTCTTTTCATTTTTCTAAATGTTAAAAAAAATTTCAGAAGAAAATGGCAAGAAAAATTCTAGCCAGATCCTGTTGCCTTCTGAAGGCTCTCAGTCAGAGCTCTGTATAGAAAGGGAGATGGGGGGGACACCCAGGTGGCAGAGTCGGTCAAGCATCCAACTCTTGGTTTTGGCTCAGGTGGTGATCTCGGGGTGGTGAGATCGAGCCCTACATTGGGCTCTGCACTCAGTATGGAGGAGTTTGCTTAAGTCTCTCTCTCTCCCTCTGCCCCTTCCCCTCCCTGCTCTCTCTCTCTCTCAAATAAATAAATCTTTTTTCAAAAAATGAGGGGTGCCTGGGTGGCTCAGTTGGTTGAGCATCTGCCTTCGGCTCAGGTCACGACCACAGGTTCCTGGATTGGGCCCCGCGTCAGACTCCCCACTCAGTGGTGAGTCTGCTTCTCCCTCTGCCTCTTCCCATGGCTCATGCTCCCCCCCCACCCCCATGTCATATAATTAAATAAAATCTTTTTAAAAATTAAAAAACGAAAGGGAGATGAGGGAGAGAAAACTGTTCAAGAGGTATGAGCAAGGGGCACCTGGGTGGCTCAGTCGGTAAAGCGTCTGCCTTCGGCTCAGGTTATGGTCCCGGGGTCCTGGGATTGAGCCCCACATTGGGCTCCCTGCTCCGCAGGAGGCCTGCTTCTCCCTCTCCCACTCCCCCTGCTTGTGTTCCCTCTCTCGCTGTGTCTCTCTCTGTCATACAAATAAATACAATCTTAAAAAAAAAAAGAGGTATGGGCAAGAAAGAGTAAGTCTCTCTCCTTGGTAATAAAATACGTCAGAAATGGGACAAGGGTGCAACTTTCTCAGCATGTGGTTCAGTGCTATTTAATGCACTGCCTAAAATTACCACTCATATCATGTGGTCTGGAATAATATGATGCCTTGTCTCCAGGACACATGTTTGGGAAAAATAACATCTGCGTGTGCCCTGGGTCCCAGCTGCTGTTTTAATAGGAAAACCTATCTTTCCAATATGCTTTTTAAGTGTTCTTAGGGAAGTGGTGGGGGCCCCTTTGCTAGAGGAAAAGTCTGTGCTTTTCTGGTCCTGTGGCTCTTCCTGGTTGGTGCTGGGGACACAGTAACTTCGCTGGGGCCCTGGCTGAGTATGGGTGATGAACTCCTTAGTCGGAGGCCAGACCCTCTCCAGAATCCTTGTTTGGGGGTGTCCTGTCCCAGGCAGGCTTGCAGAGTCTCCCTTGAGCCCACTGTGGCTGGAACTGGTGGGAAGTGCTGCCTATGGAGGTTGGGGCAGTAGGGGGTTCCCTCACCTCTGCCCTCTTAATCCTCAAACTCTGTCAAGAGAGCTTATCTCCCCAACACTGTCACATCTCCTGTCATCACGGCCTCTCTCATCCCGGGGAACAACACAAAGAATAACCACTAGGACTGGGAACCGAACGAGCGCCAGGATGTGAATCCAGACCCGCCCAACTCTGGAGTCCGAGTCTTCAACCACATCATTCTCCCGGTTGACTAGAGATAGTCTGTTAAAGCTCTGTGGCTTCAGTTCCTGCACCTGGAAAATGGGGGGTGGGGAGCCTCTGGTACCCCACCCTCCCATCCCTACCCCTTTCTGTTCTCCTGGTGCTGTGAGGAGTTCATGTGGCAGTAAATGAAAAGCACTCCAAACAGTGTCTGGCTCATAGCACACAATAAAAACATTAGGCAACATTACTAATATTACTATGAGCTATCCTGGAGAAAAGGCTTCAGGGTGGAGGTGGCTTTTGAGTCAGTTTTCAAAGAAGACCAGGGGTGGGGGGGTGGGGGGGTGGCATTCCAGGAAGAGCGCACAGTGAGAGCGCTTGTGACCTTGGCAGGAAGTAAAGCTCACTGGGGAACCATTTAATAGCCCCACCTGGCTGCAGCATTTGGGCAGGAAGCTAGGATGGTGAACTGGGAGTTGGGGGAGAGGGCATTTGTAAGGGAATGTGCAAGGCTTCAAGCCAACTGCCTGGGAGTGTGCTGACAAGGCCCAGGAGGGTCCACTCTGGTCTGGCTTCCAGTCTTGCTTTTTTCAACTTGTCCAATCTCTTGGCTCCTGGACCCCACTCTCCAGCCACCATGGCTACCTGGCTGTTCAGATCCATCAGAGTCTCTCTCACTTGCTGTTGTGTCCCCCTGGAATGCTGTTCCCACCACCTCCTCCCCTCCCCCAAACAGTGCAAATGCCACCTCCCCCAGGATGCCTTCCCTGGGTCCCTAGCTAAGGAGCGCCACCATCATCACATAATCCAAGTTATTCCCCTCACTGCTCGCTTCCCATTCTGAAATTATCTTGTGCAGATTGTTTACTGGCTTTTTGTGTGCCTGACCCCATTAGATGCCAGCTGTGAGGGCTTGGACTTTGTCTTATTCAATGCTGCAGACCCAGCACCTAGAGCACTGCCTGGTACTTAGTAGGTGCTCAGTAAATGTTTACAACGGAAGAACTGAAAGATTTTTGAACAGGTGAGCGGGACAATCTGACTTATGTTTTAAAAGACTCCTCTGGGGCTCCTGGCTGGCTCAGTCTGTGGAGCATGTGACTCTTGATCTCGGGGTGGTGAGTTTGAGTCTCATGTTGGGCATAGAGTTTACCTAAAAAAAAAAAAAGACTCCTCTGACTGCAGACTGTGTGGGGTGAGGGCAGAGCAGGGAGATCTGGGGATAGACAACAGCTCAGGTCCAGGGAGTGATGATGGGGCCAGGACTGAGATGGTGGCAGTGGCGGCGGTGAGAAGTGGTCAGAAATTGAGAAGGGAGGAGGGGAAAACAGTAAGACAACTGAAGGAAAGGAGGCAGGAAGAAGCAGGGGACTAAAGGAAGAGGAGAGAGGAATCCATGACCTTTGGCTGTGAGCTGGGCAGGAGAGGAGGATTGAGGTGCGGGGTGGCGTGGGGGACACGGAGTCACAGGAGGAGTGGATATGGGAAAAGAGGCCAAATTAGTGTCTCGGATGCCTGTTGGACAATGCAGGGATGAGGTCCACGAGGCAATGATAATAATTATAATTATAGTAAAATAACTACCACAGAGCTCTCTGGTTACATTATTCGTCACTCATCAAATATTTACTGAACACTGCGGACACAGCACCAGCAGAGACAGACAAGAGTCCTTGCCTTCATGGGGCTGATGAGCTGTTGGCAGGGGACTAGAGAAATTAATGGATCAAGAAATACTTATTTATTTATTATTTATTTATTTATTTATTTATTTAAAATTAGCTCTACGCCCAAATGGGGCCCGAACCCCCGAGATAAGGGTCGCATACTCCACCGACTGAGCCAGGCAGGCGCCCCCAGAAATACAGTCTAATATCAGGTAGTGGTAAATCCTCCGGGGGAGGAAGGTGGAATATAACAGGGCAAGGGGATAGAGAAGGGGAGATCATGTTGGGGAGAGTCTGACGTCCAGGAAGGACTTTATATTTGTTAAAGCCTCAATGACAGAAAGTGGATGGTTGATTTAGTATGTCTTTAGGTCTCGAGATGATCTAGTTATCTTCCAAAGATTCCACGAAGTGAGTTTCTCCCGTCATGTAGCGGAGGAAACTGAGGTAGTGGGGTACCTTAATGACTCCCAAATACAGCGATGGAAATCCAACCAAGAACCGAGAGGGAACCCCCAGGTGGGAAAAAACAAAAAACAAAAACCCGCTCAGAGGCCGGGAAACGGTCATTTACTGGGGAGGGCAGAGAGAGGCGGGGTTCGGGGGAAGCAGAGCGCGCGCATTGACCTATGACGTCATCGGGACGTTAGCTAGCGTAACATCACCTGGACGTAGCCCCATTTCCCTTCCCGGACAGGTCCTCTGGTACTCCCGGACCGTCTGAATCAAGCCTCTCATTGGTTACTCGTTCCATCAATCTGTTTCATTCTTACAGTCTTCCGCCCCGCCTTCGAGAGCCCACCTCTGATAGGCTGATGCAGCCGTCACTTCAGAAAGGTCCGCATTCCTTCCGCCTTTCTCCAGGAGACCGAAGGCGAGGAGGGTGGATCCCAGGCGGTGCCCACCCTTGAGGCTCTGCTTCTGCCTCTGATTGGCTGCCCTGGGTGCCGGTCGCTACGCCACCCGCCTCTGATTGGTCATCCAGCCGCCGCTCTGCGCGGCGCCGGCTCCGCCCCCGTCGGGTGTTTGTGGTGGGGCTGCGGAGTCGCCGATCCCGCCGGAAGCGCCAGGACAATGGGGACCAGGGACGACGAGTACGACTATCTATTCAAAGGTGCGGTCTGTGGGACAGAGACGGGCGAGCGCACGGCGGCAAGGCGGCGGGCAGGCGGGTTGAGGCTGCGCTCCAGGCCGCTAGGCCCAGGCCGGAGTCCGGGACTTGGGGCCCAGCGGGTTAGGCAGCGGGGAAGGCCGGGGCAGTTTGGGCTCGGTCAGCTTTGGGCTGGAGTGCGCGGCCGTGCGGAGCGGGCGTCCCAGAGAGGCCTGGGGGCCCTGGATGCGCCGAGGCGGGGCCGGGGCCCAGAGGGGGTGGGGCCCCAAGCGGTGGGAGAGGCCGTTAGGGGCGGGGCCTCCGGGGGCGGGGCCTCCCCAGCATTTGGCGGGCCGACTGGGTGGAAAGCTCCATTCGTGGTGGGGGCGGGGCCATAGGAGGCGGGGCTAGGGCGTAGTGGGCGTGTCCAAGAAATGGGCTGGCTCTGGGCAGGTGGGGGTGATTCTCTCACGGAGTGGGAGGAGCCGGTCCTGATTGGCGGCGGCATGTCTGGGGGCGGTGCCTGGGAAGGGAGAGGACGCGAGGGGATGAGGCGTGTGGTGGGGGACCCTGGATTTGGGACCCTGGGTTGGGGTGCTGACCCAGAATTGCGTGGAAGGGGCGCCTGGCGGGGGGACTGTGTGTGCTGGACCCAGGCTTGGTGGTTAACAGTAACCACCAGTTATTATCTTTTGAACTCTTAGAACTCTTAATAGAACCACCAAAGTACCTGCCCTTCTCTAAGCACTTCACGAATTCATTGAATGTTCACCCCAACCCTGTGAGGTCGTCGATAGTATCCAGCCTCTCTCTCTGGACCTGGAAACCGAGACCCAGAGAGACAGGGCACATTTGAAAAGTGTTGGAGCGGGATTTGAACCCAGGTCAGCTCTGGGCTTTACCACCTAAGGAGTATATGTGGGACTAAGCTTGTTAGACCACCTCCCCCAACACATGGGCACCGATGGGCTGGCCTTCGGCCAACCTGCTAGAGGATCGTCCCTGCCCAAGGGACAGAGGGTTCTAGGAGCCAAAAGTGCCGCCGTGGCAGGTCAGACAGCCACGGCCGGCCTAGCTCCCTCGCCCTGCCGCTCAAGCTGGGGAGACTCCCTCCACATCGCTGGGGGTGTGGACTGACCTAAGTCACTAGCTTTAGAGGTGCCTGGCTGGTTCAGTCTAGCATGCAACGCTTGATCTCTGGGTTGTAAGTTGGAGCCCCACTTTGGGTGTAGAGATTACTTAAAAACAAAATCTTAAAAAAAAAGAAAAAAAGAGTCACTGGCTTCACAGTGCCTTCTGGGCCAACCTGGGCTTTGGCCAGGCCCGGGGCTGTCTGTTTTGAGCTCCCTGGCTGACAATGGTTGCCCTTGATCGCTAACCCTGGGCCCGCATGAAGCACCTTTGTCCTGCTGCCTGCCGTGTGAGGGTCTGCCTCCCACACCAGCGGTTGACATTGTCCCCTCGTTGGGGAAGCCTGGCTATCTCTGGGAGTGCGGTCCGTGTCCATCACTGACCGTTGTGCCTGTGTTATCATCCCACACATTGGGGCCGGAAGCCTGGGGACCTTGGGGATGTGGAGAGCGGGGTGGAGCACTCCCTACCTGGGATATCCATGTGGTGAAAGGCTTCTGGGCTGGGGGAGTGCCCACACAGAGGCCCAGAGTTGTCACGTGGCACCGTGGGCCCCGGGGAGCTGTGTGCAGGCTCATAAGTCACTGGCAGGTGAAGCTGTGTGGTCAGCAGGTATCAGGCCAAGGTCCTGGTGCCGACTTGCCCTGGGGTCTCACATTAGAGTCAGGGGAAGCTCTTCTGTCAGTCCCCCAAAGGGACTGGCCACCGGTGGACGGGACTCCATCCTGCTGTGGCTGGGGCCCTGAGGCCTCTGCTCCCCAGGTCCTGGTTGCAGGGCGGGGGGCCTTAAGCCTAGTCGTCAACCTCCAAGCTTCTGGAGCCATTGCCCACTTGTTATTTTCAGCCGCTTGCTGTTATAAATAACCCAGCTCGAGTGTTTGCACTAGTCATCTTTTGCCCTTTGGGTTATTTCCTTGAAGTATGTTCCCAGAAGTCCAGTTACTGGGTCAGGGGCAATGGAGCGACTGTGTGCTTCCCGGGACTCATCTCCAGAGTCCTCTTCCTGGAAGCCCAGATCTGGCTTCGGCGGCAACTGGCACAGGGCGGGGGTATGGGTGGGGGCTGCCTGCCCCGCTGCCCTCCCCCCTCAGCCTACTTTTCTGAGTCATTCAGGGTTAGAAGTGAAAGTTGAGCCCACAAGGTCAGTATTTCCCAAACCGCGGGCATCTGAGACCTCACGTTCACATGTGTGTCTTGTTGGAGGTCTCCCTATTATCTCTGCATATTTCTCTTGAAATCCACTCAGTTTTTCACTCCAACGGGAGAAGGAAACTGTGTGGGTCTGGCACATACTCCTTACCTCGAGGCTCCCCAGCCCCATCACCTAGTCCGAGGTGGGGCCCCTTCAGGAGGGGAGGAGCAGTGATCGTCATGCCCCCAACCCTGTGCTCAGCCTCCCCCAGGCTTTAGTCACCTTCTGGCCCTTCCCTTGGCACGGAGGCGCCACACTTCTCACTTGGGATGCTGACTGCCCCCGGCTTAGCCCTCCCACCACCGCCTTGGTTGGTTTGGCCGCCACATCACACGGTGGCTCCCCTGACCTCCCAAGACCAAGGCCAGCAGATCCCCCTGGGTGTTTTCCCCACATGCTGTTTATTTTCCTCACTGCGCTTTCTGTCTTCCCCCAGGAGTGAGGTTGTTTATTTGTACCTAATTATAGATTCTCGTGTTCAGCCTGCTAACATTTTATCCTGACAGCTATGGGCCATTTTCCCAACCTGCAGATCAGCCCCTGGGGGCTGCCCTGATCTCTCTTGGCTTGGACCAGGCTGCGGGATCCACAGTGGGAGCAGCTATGTCCCCAAGGGCCACGAAGGACTTCCTGGAGCCCCCCAGCCACTCACCTGGCCTCTGAGGATGTGGGTTGAAGTGGGAAGCTGCTGTGGTAGCCCAGGACCTTGTCCCCTGGGCTTTGCCCACCCCTGTGCCATCCATGAGTCCTTTTGGGAAAGGGGGTGAGGAGAGAGTAGCAGCCAGAGCCCAGGGAACAGGCCAGCCCCATGCTCACCCTCCTCTGCTGAGTGTTCCTGAGGTAGCCTCCTTGCTCTCCAGCCTGGGCAGGGCCCCCACCAGACCCCCTGGTAAGGACCCGAGCACGCCATCTTCCCCCATTGGCCCATGGTGGCCTTGTCTGTGCCCTGGCTTTGGGCCCCGATCTGTCCTCCGCTCTGATTCCCTGGGATATAACTGTGGCAGGATTGCCCTCAAGTGCCAGTCTCTGGGGCCTGCGATGGTCAGGGCTGGCTTCCTGGGGTGGGGGGGAAGCAGGGGCCTGCTCTGCCTGGAGTAGGGGAGCCAGCACCCCCCCCCAAATGGCCACAGTCTACCTGGGTGTCAGCGTGTGGGCCCCAGGGGTGCCACGCTGTCATGAGGCAGGTCGGAGGACCCAGGGCTTCAAGAGGTGCCAGCTCTTTATTTTTGCCAACTGGGCTTGCCTGCTCTGCCAGCCAAGTGGCATGTCCAGGGGAGCCGTTTCCCAGCCAGTGATGCCACCGACTTCTGTGGAAATGCTAGGGGCTGTGTCCTCAAGGGCCCTTTATTTCCCCAAGACAACAGATCACTTGTGCCTTGGACAATGCTGTTCTCATTCCTAGCCCTCACATGGGGCCAGCCTGGCCACTGCCCCACTGGCCACCTCCCTGCATCAGGCACCGTGGGCCAGGGGCGGGCCGGCAGTTCATCTGTGCAGTGGCTGGGGGCTCTCATCTTGTCCTGGCCTCCGCTTTCTCACTGGGTGACCCTGGGCCAGGAACTTGGTCACTCCAGGCCGAGTGGCCCCCAGCTGCATAAGGGGAAGGATAATATGAACATTCGCTCCTGGGATGGCCCTGAGAACGCAATCACAAAGCCTTCAGGGCTGGGCCTGGCCCGAGGTGCTGAGGAGATTGTTGGCTAGGCCAGGGCAGAGTTGAGGGGGCCAAGGCTGGCAAGGGAGGGAGGGGATGGGGGTGGCCATACAGGGCAGAGCCCAGAAGGGACCCTCCCGCTCATTTCCTGTTCCATTCCCGAGGGCATACGCATTGTGAGCCAGCCTCTCCAGCCTTGGCCAGGTCCCAGTGGCCACGCGGGAAGGAGGTGAGGGGTTGGGGGTGTGGGTGGTGGGCTCCACAGCGTGGGTGAGAGTCACAGGCCCTTGTCCATCTCCACCTCTTTCCACCTTCTCCGAGGTCGGCTCACAGTCTTCCGTTGGGCACCTACATTGTCAAGAGAACACCTGCCTTGTTATCCCAGGTCATGGAGGCCAGGTCACATGTTGGTTTGAAGGGAGAGGAGAGGCCTGACTTGAGGGGTTTTGAAGGATGAGCAGGAGTTTACCCACTACTCCGAGGGTCAGGATGCCCCAGATGGTGGGAGAGGAGGAGGCTGGACCCAGATCCCTGAGCTTAGCTCTGGATGCAGGAGACATGGGTTCAGATCCTGACAAACCACTTTCCAGCCAGGTGGCCCTGGGCAAGTCACTGTCTGGTGAGCAGGGTTGGGAGGTAGGAGCAGGCCTGCAAACAGGCGTGTGCTCACAGTGCCTTGGGCTCGGCATTCTCCTGCTTCCTCTTGTAAAGGTTACATGAGACTTGTGTGAGGTGGGGCACATCGAGGGCTTTCTTAGGACAGACTCATTAAACATTCTTGTTCTTAGTCTTCTGGGGGCTGCCTTACCTGCCCCTTCCTCCTCTGTGGCCTGAGGATGGTAACCTGGGTGGGGGGAGCTGTGGAGGAAAGGCCGGCGGGGAGGGGGGTGGGCTTTTAAGAGGATGGCAGCGAGGGCCTGCCTCCTCGATCGAGTGCCATCTGAGGGACCACACCGAGGAGGGGAGGGCAGACAGCAGGCAGGTACCCGGGCAAGAATGTCCAGGCAAAGTGCAGCGTGGCCCTGTCTAGCTTCGAGTTCCAGTGAGGAGGCCCGTGTGGCTGGAGCAGAGTGGGCGAGGGGGAGAGAGGGAGGGCAGGGAGGGCATGGGGCAGGTGGTGCAAGGCCCTGTGGGCCTCTGGGAGGATTTGGACTTTTACATCTGGGAGGTGGGAGCCCTGGAGGGCTGTGGGCAGAGCAGTGGTGGGAGCCACTCAGGTGCTCACAGGCGCCCTCTGGTGGCCTCCAGGAGAACAGCCTGGTGGTTGGCTATGAGAGTAACCACAAGGACCCCAGGAGAGGTGCCGGTGGTGTGGCCCCAGGTGGGGCAGTGAAGGTGGTCAGAAGCCGTGGGAATTTGGCCATGCACATATACAACTTTCCATCGAGGAAAAACTTAACTGGGGCTGTGGGTGACCAAACCTACAGCCCCCGTGGCTTTCCACTGGACAGACCCACTCTTGGGTGCCAGAGCCCAAGGTCCACACGTGGGGGTCCATGTGGTTTCTGCCTGGGGTGTCTGGTCAGACAGCCATGTGTTGTTTCTTCTCCGCTGCACATATTCCCACGCGTACATGGGCAGCTCACACACTGTGCAGACGCAGACGTGAGACTCCAGTGTGCGCTGGGTCTAAGGACAGCATCTTGGGCTCACACTCTTCCCGGACCAGCTCATGTGGCCCTACCACAGAGCCTGGGGCACCTTGGCCCCTAGAGGCAGTGCTTCTCTGGCTGGGGCAGAGGGATGCAGGGAGAGACTGGAGGGGCCTGCCCTGCCCTGCTCAGGAGGACTCTGTGCTCTGGATGTCTCTGCAGGAAGGGCTGACTCTGGGGGCGTCGGGGTGGCAGGCTCTGTGCCTTTGCATATGCATCTAGAGGGCACATTCCTGTTCCGCATGAGCCAGCTCTGACGATGCCGGGGCTGAATGTGGGTTTGCTTGCGGCAACCCTTCATGAGGAAGCAGCGGGTGGGCGTGGGGGGGAGGCTTCTCATTTCCTGTGACTTAGAGCTCCAGAGACAGACCCTTGTAGGTAAGAACCTAGCAATAACTGTTCCCTGCCTGCCTTAGCATGCTAGATGCTACTGGAGTTCTGATCCTGCCTTTTCTCCTCGAGTCCCCCTTCTGCAGAAAAGGCAGCCCAGAGAGGTTAAATGACTCGCCCAAGGTGGCCCAGCCCTGAAGCCTTCTTGGCCTCCGGGCTGCAGGGGAGGGTCAGGGGTTGATAGATCCCCACTCTGCCTGCCCGCCGGGATGTCTGGGTGCGTACATCGGCACTGGGGCAGCCCTGCTCTGAAGGATCAGAGACAGCGGGGTGTTGCACTGTCCACAGCGGCTGTGTTTCCGGGAGCCTTGAGCCTGTGCTTGCTTCTGCACCAGCAGATGTGGAGCCTCGGGCTCCAGGACAGCCCTGCTGCTCTGATGTTGGCTTTCAAGTTTGTGCAGCACCCAGGGTGCCGCTGGCGGTCCTGCAGGTGGGCATGGGTGCTGTATGGGCCTTGGCTCAGGGAGGCCGGCCTGCCGAGTCTCACCTGTCTCCCTCCTGCCCCCAAAGTGGTGCTCATTGGGGACTCGGGCGTGGGGAAGAGCAACCTGCTATCACGCTTCACCCGCAACGAGTTCAACCTGGAGAGCAAGAGCACCATCGGCGTGGAGTTTGCCACCCGCAGCATCCAGGTGGACGGCAAGACCATCAAGGCGCAGATCTGGGACACCGCCGGCCAGGAGCGCTACCGAGCCATCACCTCGGCGTGAGTGACGGGCTGGGGCGATGCAGGAAGCCATGCGTGTGGGGCCGGTGGGCCCAGAAGGGTGGGCGGGAGGTGGGCAGGCTCGGTGGGCAGCCGCTCCTTGGCCCAGGATGGAGGGACAGGACCTCCAGGAGTTATGGGACCGTTGGGAAGACCAGTGCCCAGTCCTGGCCATGCTGTGACCCTAGGGTAGACATGTCCTACGGTTCCTCTGAGCCCTGGAGTCCCTGTCCCTTAAGGCACTGTGGTTTCACCGACGCTGGCTGCACCGTGAGGGTTGTTACCCTGGACTGGTCCCCTCTGCCCGCTCCCCAGCCCTGCCTGCTCGCCTGCCCTGCCTATCTTCCCTCAGCTTCCCTCTGCGCTTCAGCTCAGACCCTGTCCCACCCTCTCCCTGTCCTCCCACATAGGCCTGGCATCCC